ATAAAAAACATTTTATTTATAAAAAGCATCAACAGCAACAACACTAATATTAACAATAAGCAAAATAAATGTAGAATGTCTAATGTTTTCAAATGGAGAAAATAAATAAAGGACAGGAGTCATATCAACTTCATTTTAAACTACAGTTTTAGTAGGTTTATAAGCTGTTTAATAGCTACAGAGTCAAGAATAATTCACTGTATAATGTTAATTAACTGAATAATATTCTCTGGAATATTGTAATATAACAAACAAAACATCGTATTTTATTGCATTTCTCAATTGGAATGTTATATCAGAAATATTAATAATGTTTTTGTCCTTCTAGATTATGAAATGCCTGCTGACAGCGCAGTTTATCTATGCAGTTACACAGAACTATACTCAAACTGCTATCGCTCGCGGAGATAATAAATAATTAATTTCCATAGAGTTGTATTTATTTAGATGTTTATTAGCGAAATAATGGTTATATAGTAAATGTTAATACAATTTAGGGTGTTTTAAACAAGTGAATCTTGTTAAAAGTTACATGCGGTGGCCGTGCTGGAGCATTTCCTGAGCATCAACCACATCAACCCGGTGAGTGAACAGCAATATGAAAGCGGCTTCACGAGACTAATGATGAGCAAATATACAACAGCGAGAGAATTAAATTCAGCGCTTTTATTTCCAACATGCGCTCATTCATTGCTGTATTATTTAACTCGTGCAAAGTTACGTCTTTATTTGGAGAGGATCTTGACAGATTATCTACGTGACTCCGACTTCACGAGACTAACAATGAGCATAGACAACAGAGCGCGAATTAAATTCAGCGTTTTTATTTCCAACATGCGCTCATTCATGGCTGCATATTATTTAATTCAGGCAAAGTTACGTCTTTATTGGGACAGGACTTGACGGATTATTTTACGTGACTCCGTGAGTTGGTCTCTATTTCTTAGAGCCAAGCTGCATAAACTACATATGTAATGCATCTAATTTGTGCATAAATGGCTGTTATGTTAAATAAAGTTTACTAACTATAGCAACTATATCAAGTACCTGCACGCCGTTGTGTCTCCCCTCAGAAGCACTGCAATGGCGATCCTGCGCGCAATTCTCAAAACGCCCACAAGATGGCGGCGTTTATCGGTGAATCCGATATTACAAAACCGATATCCGATTATGGTAAAATGCTTAAATATCGGGAAAAATATCGGTAAGTCGATTTATCGGTCGATCTCTAATTAGGACACTTTAAAATACCATATGACCTGCTCTTTAAGGTTTTGCAGTGATTTGAAAAAGAATTGTGGGGCTTAAGAAATAGCACTAATATTCAAATACAAATTCTGTTTAACTCATTTGAACTACAAAAGTATTGAACAAAAATACCTGACAATCAATATAGGGTTGTATGGTACAAAAATAACATAGTATATAGGCTAACCAATCCCAATGCTCTAACTAGACAAATAAAAACCTGTTTCCTGGAGGAAAATTTAATGCAAACTGTACTCAACATTACATCCCATCGGATCCACCTCATATTAAAGGGGTCATATGATGCGATTTCAATTTTTCATAATGTACAGTATGTGGAAAATAATGTTTTTTGAACCTCAAACCGCATAAACACGTTTCATTACACCAAATACACAAAATAATGTTCTTTTTAGCAGCATCATATGACCCCTTTAACATCCATGTCAAGCGATTCAATTACTCGGACATCCAAGACAGATCTTCACTCTGGCCATTAACACACATCTCAAACGTGTCGCCTGTAAGCACCTGTGACTGGATTTTGAAGGGAAGGGTCTCTTTTTGTGACTACATAAAATACGATGTCAGTGTATTTCTACATTTCTGAGCTATAAACTAGTTGCCGAAAAGCCTAAAATGCCTAAAAGCATGAAACAACTACACTGAGGCATTGTTTGTTTTTGTTTTTTCCCAAATTAATTTTTGTGCCATTATTCCTACTTCCTGTTCCAGCAAACAAGCATTTTCAACAACAGAGTGAGAGATTAGAGAAGTCCGAGTGCTTGTCTGTTGGTCAGATAAAATCCTGGTGCCAATCAAGGTCATTAACTAAATTGTTTTTCTCAGCCCGAAGTACCGTGATGAGTAATGTGCTTCATTGTGCCAATGTGGCACAATTTTTTTTAAAGACAAAACAACGGGAGAAAGAAGGGAAGAGAGAAGGTCAAACAGACTAAATACGTGGGTTATGTTCTGTCATTTGGGAACCAATGTATTTATGCATAGTACTACATAAAAAAAAGTTAAAAGTTTCTCACAATTACTTCCTGAAGTGCAGCAAATAAAAACACCAAAGAGATATTTGTTTATATGTAAACAGAAAGGGCCTTTTAATTTGCAAATACCTGTTAAAATAGAAATATTGGTGTCATATAACCAAGAAGATACAACATGAGTCTGTCTCTCCTGAATAATAATGCCTCTATATATCTGTAGTTCAGAATCAGATTTCTTCAAAGCTGAAACCGTATTCATGGTGGGCTCAGGAAGTGAGTCACGGATAAGGAGGGAAGGGAGAGCCCTTCCTGTCATTTTGTTTTAAAGTATGACAAAGAATGATGGGAACTTCCTCATGCTCTCTAGCAATGACTGGAATGCCATTTGGGTGACATCACAAGGAAGACCATGCTAAAATAGCTTATTTACAAACTTTTCATGGGAAAATGTGGTGATATTTAGCATTATCATTTTAAAATGTCATATACTACAGTTAAAGTTTGGTTTGGGGTTGGTAGGACTTTTTCATGTTTCTCATAAAGTCTCTTATGCTCATCCGAGCTGCATTATAAATCATAATGAATGAATGAATGAATGAATGGTCTGTACTAATACATTTTTTATTAAACAATTCACAATAGTTCAGATGAAAGCTTTCTTTAATTGCATTCATTTCTGTAATTGCTTTAAATAGCATTTATTTGAGAGAAAAAAAAAACAGTAAAAAAAAAAAACTAATACTGTGTATTATTATTACAATTTAAAATTATTGTTTTATCATTTATTCCTGTGATGGCAAACCTGAATTTTCAGCAGCCATTACTCCAGTCTTCAGTGTCACATCATCCTTCAAAAATCAGCCTAATATGCTCATTTGGCGCTCAAGTAACATTTCTTATTATTTTTATCAGTTTTGTAAATACTCATATTGCTTAATTTATTTGTGGAAACCGTGAAGCATTTTTGCAGGTTTTTCAGGATCTTTGATGAATAGAAATTTGATGAAAAGAAACAGTTTTTTATAACAATGTAAATATCTTTACTGTCACCTTTAATTAATTTAATGTATCCTTGCTGAATAAAAGCAAAAATCTTACTGACCCCAAACTTTAGAACAGCAGTGTATTTTGAGCAGGAGTCACAAAGACTACTAAGACACAGAAGGGTGCATGAGACTCACTTGAGCCGCATCTCCTCAGTCTTGCGCAGCTCCATGTCCCGTTGCACCACCTGAATCACATGGTCAGCCTCCACATCCGTCAGACCAGAGAGATCCAGTTTATGCCCCATCCTTCACCTCTGCAGAGCTAATAAGATACCTGCCCTGTCCCGGCTGTTAGCTAAGGACAGTAAAAGAAGCAGAACAGTCATTTAATATATCAAAAGCTTGGCACCAGCTGCACCGCTGGATTCATAATGTGCTTGAAGTAACAGACAAAGTTACAGTTTCACTTTATGAGGTTATTTTTTTTTATTTCATACTCTAACAAGGATCTTTTAATGCTTTGGCAAACTCAGTTTTTGACTGTATAATCGAAGCTGGGAGGTAAATCTAATGACAAAACAATCTTGTAATTATAACATTATTTCATTATGAAATCAACAGTGTATTGCAAAAGTCCAAAGTAAATCCTCTTGCATAAGGCTGTTCAATTTGTCTTTAGCTGAAATAAGGGCCCTGAGATTCAAGACCACAACAATGTCGTTTTTATCCACTGCTCTAGATGTATGATAATTCTTACATGACATATAAAGAATACATGAAATTTTCTATGGTACCACATGCCTTGGGTTGTGACCTTGCCTTAAACACTTTTTTTGTCTGAAAGATAAGTCCCCAAATGCTGTTATTGTCACTAAAACAAAACAAATTAAATAAAAATCTAATTCACTAACTGAAATAAAGTTTAAATAAAATAATATATTGGATGAAAAACTTGCCATGTCAACCAACTGAAATAAAACAATTACTATACTGAAACTGAAATAAAAATAAATTAAAGCTAAATAGAAATAATAAAAACTAACAAAAATTACAAAATCAAATAAAAGTACTAAAACCTAAAACAAAATTAAATCTGAACATATAGGCTAAAAATAAAATAATGTATACATAATGTCCCCAACAGTTTAACAAAACAAACCTACGCTTTTGCAGGCACACTGTAAAACTAACAGATCTTTCTCAGCAACCTCAAAACCATCTGCTGAGCAAACAGTGAAAGCAAACACAGAGCTTTTGCCCATGAGGTATGACTACAATTCATCTGTCAGAAGGTAGCAATGCATTAAAGGGACAGTTCTACTTGTCATCATTTACTCACCACAGCCTCAAGTCACCATTCATTTTCGATGCATCTCTTCCCATACAATGAAAGTGAATGGTGACTGAACCAGTCACATCTCCACAAAGAAAGAAAGAAAGAAAGGCTACAGTATGTTCACACACAAGTTATTCATATTGCGTTTGGATAACAAACCTCTTTCATAAAAGAAGAAGCCGGTCTATTCTTACATGAGACAGCTCAACGTCATAATAAATATTTTATGCTCTGATTAATGATGCAATCACATTTATATAAAATTTGACTAAAACAATCAACAAATAAGCCATACTAGATACATAAAATTGATACATTGAGAAGAAGTCGTTTAGATGCGGCACTTACCTTCGCGTCTTCACCTCAGTCGCTTACGTCAGCTCTTTTCGACCAGCGACTGCCAAGCTGTCAAGATTTGCAGACAAACTCATTACGAATGTCCGCAGCCCGCTTCAAATCAATACGGTCGACTTTCCGTGTCTTTCGGGAATGTTCGAAGTTAACCTTTTGACAAGTTTGACAAAACAATCAAGAATCTCTGAAAAGAAACGCTCGGAACGGAACGCGTGAGTCCGCGTGTACCTGCTGTGGTCTCATGCCATTTACGACCACGAGACCAGAAATCTGCCAACCTCCGGTACAAGCAGCTCTGCAATGCTGCAACAGTGCTGCTAATCCACTTCTGGACGTGCTGAGCAATGATACCATACTGAGAACGAAGGGGATGTAAGATTTATACGTTGCTGCTGATTTAGCCACAGTTGCTTGTTAGCTGTAAAAAAAAAAAAAAAAGAATAAAATGTCACATTTATTAAAAGACAGACACTGATTTGGATTCATTCAAACACTTTAAAATTTTAATATACAGAATAATGATGACATAAAACAAGTAGGCCTATTTATTTACTTTTTGGCTGACCTGGAGAGGATTTTCTTTTTCCCGAAAATGCTATTAATGTTATTGTATTGGATAATTTTTGTACTTTTTTGGGGATTTAACAAAAAAATAATGCTTTTTCCTCTCAAAAACTGAGGTGCTCTGATCAATAAGCCTATAACCAATCAGGAATACAAAACCTGTGCTAGAAAGAAAACATGTTGACAGAAAAGACTGAATCCAAGATTCGCTGATAATATAGCATGAGATATTTACAACCAAATTTTAAAAGACTGGTTTAGCGAAAGGATTTTCACAGAACAAGAGTTCAATTGTTTTGTCTGTTACATGCTGCCTTGCCATTTTGCATTCTTTGTTGCCTTCTTAGATCACCTTTTTTCTCAACATCTCAACATGTTGTTACACAATAGGTAACAACCAACAAAAATTACCTATTAAGAGACCCACCCAGATAGTAAAACACAGATCAAAATTATTTAGCACCTCTAAAAATAATTTAGAAATTATTTAACATCTTCACAGTTAATCAAAGTGAAAACCAGTTTAAACCAGACTCGTTTTTGGTCTTAGCTGGTTTGTGTTGACTGTGGTTTTGAGCACTTGTTTGCTGGTCAGACTGGGAGACCAGCTAAAACCCGCAAACCATCTGGTTTCAGCAGGGACTTCTTATGGTCCTGTTCAGGTTGATGCTAATCCCAGTCCCACACACACTTAAACACCATCTTTAACTTTACAATGTCACTATCTGTCCTCTGCCCATGTCACTGATCTGCAAATTCAGACTGTAAGGCAAGTGAATGTTCCAGCATTTTCAGACTTAAGCTTAGTCACATGTAGGTCCAGTCAGCTGGTTTGAAACAATGCCACAGAAAGGCCAAAGTACCCTGAATTTTTCTCCATCTCGCTCTTTCTTAGTCCTCAAAGAGAAACAGAAAGACATTACTTTATTTCAAGATCATTTTCAATTGTTTTCTCTCGATTCAGGAAAAAATAATTATGCAATGGCTATCATCTGTTTTCCTGCAAACAAATTTATAGATCAATAGCAAAACCGATAGCTGGATGACAAAACACAATAATAAGAGCCTTATGAGATACTGTACATTGGCCCCTCTCTTTGCCCCTCGGCTATACAAATCATTGATGATTAATCATCATGTGTCCCAGTATTAGACAGCAGCAGATCATTAAGCAGAGTTGTTGTTCAAGCTTGTAAGTGTGTTTCAAAATGTTTTTGTCAGGAAAAATGTGTTACTGCCCCCTTTTTAGACATCTGGTAGTGATTAAATGTGAGTATAAAGCAGAGATGAAGTGTGCTTGGACTACAGAAAGCAGCAGGATGAAGAGTAGTGTGCAGCTAGGGCTGTTGTGTCTCAGCCTGCTCATCTCCAGTCTTCATGGAGAAGAAGAAGTCGAGACAGATTCAAGCATGCACATCCCAATTAAGTTTGATGAGCCGGATCTTCATCAGTTTGAGGTGAGGGATAAACTTTGCTGGTAGTACATTTACTGGTAAATCACACTGGGGCAAGAAGGCAGTTTCAACAGGCATCTTTCTTTTGGCATGGATTTCCCTAAATATAATTCATATATAGTTTTTGCAAAATGATAAATTGCTTTTATATGTTTGTTTTTATTTATGTTGTTATATGTTTGTGTGAGAGTTTTGCTTATTTTGAGTCATTTATCTTTTAACAATCCTTTTGCAAGATGTACAGAGTACGAAGACAGACGGTCTCCACAGAGAAGGAAAATACAGCAAAGACAGTAGCTGTTGTGCCACCAAGTGTAAGTACTCATCTAATAAAGTAACCTTTGCGCAATCTCCTGAGATGATTTTTCCAGCTGCAGCTTTTTCAAAATGTAATAACCCTACGTGGTTTGGATGATAATCAAGCCATAATTAAGCTCTCTCTTTGATAACTATTAAAATGGCAGTAGTACTGCATGTTACAAAATAACTACTTAAAGATTTCATCTGCCAAAAATATAATCTGCAGTTTGCAGCTGTATCTGTCCTCATAATTGTTTCACAATGCAGAGATGGTCATGTAAAATGTGTCACCAGAAATGTCATGTTTTCAATCTTTTTTATTGATCTGAAGGAGAACAGCAAGACTAAGAGAAAACGGCCACGTCCAGGAGGTCTTACTCCTTTAGGAGACAGTGGAGATCCGACGGTATTCACTGTCCTCTGTCAGTTCATTCAAAATAAATGGTGAAATAATACATAGGATATATATACTGTAAATAGAGAAAAATGTTGAGTACATGCTTCACCAGTTACATGATTTTCTAATCTAAAAATATATTGACTTGCCTTACACTGAATTCATCATTTGGTTTTCTCGGTTCAACGTCTATTGCTGCACCAAGAGCCAGGACAAAAACAGGAATAACAAACAGAAAAAACGTCCCGGGAGTCAGAGCCTTTTAGCAATCAGTGGAGTTTTCCAGGTATTCACTATTCTCTGATCAGCCTGTCAGCATGTCATTTACACACATTAATAGTTATTTTTATTTAAGAAATAGACTGACTTGCTTTACTGTGAACTCATCATTTGCCTCCCTCAATTAAAGCTGCCCCAACAGACTGCCAAAGCCAAGAGAGATGCCGGAGGAAAAAGGCCCTTGCCAGAAAGTTAAAGCATTGTACGTGTTCAAGGCTCCTTCTGAGGTAACATATTGCAGCGTATTTACTATTTACATAATATGAAGGGGGAAAATTTGTACTAGGTGCCTTAACAGACATTATTGTATGTTTTCTCCTTACAGGTTACCTGAATTAGGAAAAATAGGAATTGCAAATAAATACATCACCATGTTTCATAAAGAGTGTTTCGGGCTCAGGTTATGCATGTGATAATCATTTATATTTCTATAGCTTTTCTTTTCCAAGTATATGTTAAGTAATAACCTCTATGGAAAATGAAAGGAATTTACCGAATTCTCCCCCTAGTGTAATTCTTATTGGCATCACTAGGGGGCAATATTTACACAAGCGATAGTCGCTCGAACCAGCTTGGCTTCTGTTAAAACAAAATGTTTGATATCTGTTTATCTTCATCTCTTAATTACAATAAAGCAGCTGTGTTTAAAAATCACTCTTTTATTGTGTGGAGCCAGTGCAAAACACTGTAGATTTCTATATGTAGGCTTTCTATAAAGTTTTGGCTGTACTGCCTTTTTTGTGAAGGAACTGACATGTTGATATTGTCAAGCATAAATAGTCTGTGTGTGTTGATAGATTCTGTAGGATACAAACTGCACAACTATTAGTCCTCTTTTGTATTTGAGTAGTTCTGCCAGTTTAATGTGCCAGAAATGTTGTTAGCCTGAAAAGGCATACAAAATAGTAGGCCTATGTTTTGTGCCAGGAATTTGTCAACACATTAGTGGTCCAAAGTAAATAGAAAAGCAACACCCGTTCTTCCTTACCTGCGTAATCCTTGATAATAGCATAACATTTTTGCATGTTTCACTTTGTTGTTATTTAAGCATCTAAAATGTTCTGGAACATTTTGTTTGAGATCACACAAGGCCAGTATTACCATTGCCTTCACACTGAGACCCAAAAAGTAACCACAAGCAACCATGCAAAAACAACGATTTGCACTTACGTACAATGTAAGTAATGCAGTTGTTAGACTACAAAGTGAACAGCACTTTTTTCTAAAATGTAAAATTTGCAGCTCAAATACCCAGACCATATACTAAGGCAAAACATAACATAACATAACATTACATAACATAAAACCAGTTTTAAATAAAATAAATTGTGTGCACAAATTATTTTAAATAAATAAATAATCAAAGAAACCTTGCTTCAAATAAATAAGTTGTGGCTGTGCATTACATTTATGTCATGTGCTCTCTGATAATCTTTTTTTAAAAAGGCATGTTTGTAGACTCTTGCTGGAACCACACATGAGATCAGATACGTTCACAGTATGTTTAGGTGTGGGAGCAAAGCTCTGCATGCATGAGTCACAGTAAACAGACTCTGTTCTCACAGGAAGAGCAGACAGAAACAATCTACTCTGCCTTCAGGCAAAACCCCGAATCTTTCAAGGTAAGAAAAGCATGGCATTATCAGTTTTAGAAGATTATTTTCTTTTTAGTTAGACGTTAATATGATCCAGATGTTAGCTGCCGAATTTGCACACTGTTTGGGAGATAAGTCTTGAACAGAAAATATGCAATTACATCTAATGCGAACATTAAGATAAACTACCATGAACTGTATTAAAATGTGCATGTCTGCTATTTGAAAATAATCATAGCAACGTTTGGTTTTTAACTTATCAAATTAATGTTGGGTTCAAGTATGACTGAAATGATACTCATTTAAAGTCTTTGAATAATTTATAGTATGATATCAAAGCTTTTTGATTTGTGAAAAAAAAAGTGATTTTTTTTTTTTGCTGGAATGAGTGCTTAATAAGATTTGAAAGTATAAAAAATGCATTCATGCATTGACTATTTATTTATTAAAAAAATATATTTAAAAAACATTGCACTTCTCTGGAAGAGGGAATGTTTAAAGAGAAACTTTGAAGTTTATGACTTGTTTAAGCAAATGTTGGATTACACAGGAAACCTGGAAAGGATTTACAATGTTTAACTGATATGCATCTCTACTTTCGGTTTATCTGTGATTTTAAGCATGCATAGAAAAAGGCATCTGATAAAAGCAGAGAGGGAATGTTCGGAATGAAAGTGCTGTTACACGCCTGTGGCAATAAAACATCCTGTCTGGTAGCCATATGCTTTCTCTCTGCTTTTGTTGAAGAAAAAAAGATCAACTCTTTATCTGTAAATCTGAGAATGCTTGATCATTTCCATGTCTTTTTGCATATAAAAATCTAAAAGCTTTCAAACAAACCATTGTTTTTACTTTCAGAGCTTTAGAAGAAGAATGGAGACCTCAGAGGAACACTATTACGACTACCCCGAGTATGAAAACAACAGCTCCAACTTCAGCTACGATGACTATCAGACCATCTGTGAGAAGGGCGACGTGCGCTCCTTCGCGAGGATCTTCCTCCCAGCTGTTTTTGTGTTATCTCTAGTGATTGGTTTAGCAGGCAATGCTCTGGTTGTGGCGGTGTATGCATACTGCAAGCAACTGAAAACGATGACTGACACGTTTATACTTCACCTGGCTGTGGCAGACCTTTTGCTGCTCCTAACGTTGCCCTTCTGGGCTGCCGATGCCGTCCACGGGTGGGAACTCGGGGTCACCGTCTGTAAACTCGTATCTGCCCTGTATACCATCAACTTCACCTGTAGCATGATGCTGCTGGCCCACATCAGCATGGATCAGTACTTGGCTTTGACACCAGGAGCCAGAAACACAGGCATTACGCGTGCTTTTCAAAAGAAGCATTGTGTAAAACTATGTTTGGTGGTCTGGACCGTTGCGTTTTTTCTTGGCGTCCCTGATTTGGTGTTTTCAACAGTCAGAGAGCTTCCTCATAAAAAAAGCTGCATCGCAATGTATCAATCGGACATGGCGCTCAGGGCTAAAGCTAGTTTGGAAGTGGTGGAGGTCGTAATAGGCTTCTTGCTGCCTTTAATAGTGATGTTGTTCTGCTACACCTGTGTAGGCCGAGCCCTACTGAAGCTCCCTCAGGAGAGGAGGTGGAGGAAGTGGAGGTCCATCCGTGTGCTGCTGGCGATGGTGGGCGTCTTTGTGGTCACGCAGCTGCCCTATAATGTGGTCAAGTTCTGCCGGGCTATGGACATCATGTACACGTTTGTAACTCACTGCGGGGTTAGTAAAGAGCTGGACAAGGCTACTCAGGTCACAGAGAGCCTGGCATTGACACACTGCTGTCTAAATCCTGTTCTGTACACTTTCATCGGTTCCTCCTTCAGACAGCATGTATCGAAGTGTGCCAAAGACTTTGGAGAAAGGGGAAGGAGGTTGGCACGTACGAGAGAGCAACAAGAAGTGGATATCTCCTTGAATTCTCATTCACAGTCCCAAGAGACCAGCACTTTTTCCATCTGAGCAAACTGAAGAGCAGATGTTTACTAGCCTGTGGAGCTTTGCACAATCTGCTCCTTTGCAAAATATGTACACATTTACAGGGAAAAATTAGTGAAGACATAAGGCAGTATTTTGACCAGAACAGTCAAATTCTAACTGAAGTAAAAGCTAAGATGCAAGATGTCGATAGTTGGGTTTATACGAAACAAATGGAAAAAGAACAAGTCCGCGGAGTGATACGAGAGATACGAAAATAGCGCTGGACTACTAGCGGACAGATGGTGAGTTCAACTCCTCCTTTATGAGTTAGAACATCTGGTGCGTTTAAATAACCTTGGTCGAAGCAAGATGTCTCTTTTGCATAATATTTAACAAGACTTTCTTAACTCTACATTTGCAAAATGATGAATAAAGAAGAGTTTCTACTCGTAGGCTAATTATGACTTTGTGTGTAACGTTATGACTTTGTGACGTTCATGTTCGTTTAATAAATACAACCTTTCCCACATGACTTGAAAACACCTTGATAAACATCATTGCCAATGAGAACAGTGAATATAGGCTAATGGTATGTTCAAGTCCTCCTGAAGTTTGTATTTACGAGTTGGCATGTCCGTCAAGTGCCTTCAAGTTACTTTGGTCGGATGGCGATGCATCTTTTCTATTGTCAGGGCCGTCCTTAGGGGGGTGCAACTGGTGCGGTCGCACCGGGCCCCCGCGGCGAACGGCCAACCACTCCCACCCCCCACAGAACGCGATTGCGAATGGACCGAGGGGTGCCCCGCTCCCTACCTCGCACCGGGCCCCGCGTCAGCTACGGATGGCCCTGTCTATTGTAATAATTTTTTTTTTTTAAATAAATAAATAAATAAACACTACTTCTACAAAATGGTGAGTGTGCATGAATGTATTTTTTATGTTTTTATTCAATTTGATGAAGGTGCTGTAAATTGAATCATATATTCTGTCGTAGTTGTATAGCTATCATATTTTTTTAGATGCAAATTTTTGATAGTTTTATGTAAATGACAAAAAAAAATTTTTCATTAATTCCAACAAATTTACCATCAATACAGATGCTGCATCCATTGTGTCTGTTTTCTCACTGCCTGCTGAAAACAAACAAAGGTAAAACCAGCCCATGTTGGTTGGCTGGTCTTAGTTGGTTTAAACTGAAAGTGACGTTAGGTGGCCAAGCATGGTGTCCCATACTCTGAATTTGTGCTCTGCATTTATCCCATCCAAATGCACACACACACACACAGCAGTGAGTAGTGAAACACACACACCGTGAAAACACATCCGGAGCAGTGGGCAGCCATTTTTGCTGCGGCACCCGGGGAGCAGTTGGGGGTTCAGTGCCTTGCTCAAAGGTCTCACCTCAGTCGTGGTATTGAGGGTGGAAGAGAGCGCTGTACATTCACTCCCCCCACCTACATTTCCAGCCAGTACTGAGACTCGGACCTGTGACCTTCTGGTTACAAGTCCGACTCTCTAACCATTAGGCCATGACTGCTACCAAAATTTAAGCTGGTCTCCCAGCCTGGCTAAGCTAGTGTTCAGCTGGTTTTAGCTGGTTGGTGGTCAAAAGCCCTCTAAACCATCCCGCAAACCAGCTATTTCCCACTCTTAATTATGACTTGTCGTAGCGTTCATGTACCTTTAAAGGTGACATATCATGAAAATCTGACTTTTCCAGGTTTTAAGTGCTATAATCAGGTCCCCAGTGCATCTACCAACCAAGGAAACGTGAAAAAGATTAACCCAGTAACTTTGTTTTGGGAAGCCTTTTTCTGCAAGCGTCTGATTTCGCTCCCTTGGTGACGTGGCAAAGGGATCTCATTATAATATTACTGCCCCTTAATCTGTAAGTTTACTCCCACGGTGCCGTTATTGTGTTTTCACAAGTGACAACGGTGTACCAGTTCTAATGCCATGGCAAAAGTTTGAGCAGAACATTCTAAACTTAGTTTAGTACTCACATGCTGTGACAGCCGCTTTCTGTCCGTGTGCTTTAGATGTGTGCGACCATATATACCATATATCAGAAGTTTAAACTCATATGGTTTAAAACGCATGATTTCAGCGCAATAAACATGATAATCAGAACCAAAAACATATGTTTTTAGCTGGTCCCAGCTGTAGAGCGGCGCAGCTCTATTCTGGAAAAGGGGGCGGGGAGCAGCAGCTCATTTGCATTTAAAGAGACAGGCCCGAAAAACAGCTGTTTCTGCTTCCACTCAAAATAGGCATTTTCAAAATGATATAATAAATGATCTGTGGAGTATTTTGAGCTGAAACTTCACAGACACATTCTGGGGACACCAGAGACTTATATTACATATTGTAAAAAGGGGCATAATATGTCTCCTTTAACTCCTTTAATGTAGCTACCTTTAAAAAATGTTCTTCCGACTTGAATGCAAGTCCACTTTAGTCCACTAAATGCCACGATTGACCAGTCAGAATCGAGTATTCCTGCCACATAATTAGATAAAATAAATGCTCTGTGGAGAATATCAGAACAAAAACTGATAAAAACATGTTCTTCATCCCCAAAATATTTGATTTATAAAGAATGTGATTTTTTCATCATAAGACTTCATAACTAAATAATATCATCATAAAAGAATGTTCCTCTGTACAGAAGAATATCATGTTCACTGACATTGTGTACATTTTCAGCTTTTTCATTTTTAATTGGTTCCATGCAGTTTATTCTTCATTCTTACATAAATTTATCATTTCATGATGTTCAAAATGTTCTGAAGAATTTGAGGAGAAGCAGAGCAGCAATATTGGCCAGTTGCTATGGGTCACAGGGGTGACATAAGATTTGTATTAACTCCAGCTGCAGAATCCAAACAAACATTTCAAATATAATCCATTGGATCTTTCACCATACTCATAGAAGCCTAGATGTTTTGTTTCTCAAAAGATGCTTCAGCAAGGAATGCAAATAGAATATGCATTTAAAAGCAAGTATGTTGCATATAGTACATTGATGCATTTATACTGCATTTTAATGGAATTTATACTTTTACCTTGTTTTTATTTTGCTTAACTTTATTCTTTGTGAATAATTTGTTTCTGGGATAATTAAAAAATTCTAAATTGTGTAGATAAATAATTATAAAAAAAGAAAATAATTCTAAAATGTGTAAAATAGTGGGCCTAGTTGTGACCAAACATTTTACTGTACATGTTGATATAGAGGTAATAAATACTTTTAAAGTACAATGGCCTTTAGAGAGACAAGATGACTATTTCTAAATCTAACCTATTTCGAAATCTAATCTATTTTTTAACCCTGTGCTAACATGTGTGAACTATCCATAAGAGGGGAGCATGTAGAAGATTGTGCACAAAACACTTTGATCACATTGGTAATTTAGAGGCCTTAGAAATTAATGTATGAAGTATGATACGGTAGGATTTCTAGGGTTAAACAATTAGTAAAACAGTCCTTTACTCAGCCAATTCCTAAAAAAAGGACGTTTTTGCTACCCCCTTCTGGTTTGTTAAGGTCACAAATAGCATTTAATAAAACATAAAAGCATTTTAAAAATTGTTCCTTAAAATACTAATGCTGTATGTGAAATGATCAGTAAAAGAAAGATGCAGAGCTGCTGAGGCCTCGAGGCATTTAAATATTGTAGAAACTTAAATTTGCTGTAAAGTTGCTTTGCAACGATTTGTATCGTGAAAAGCGCTATACAAATAAACTTGAATTGAATTTAAAGAAATTGAGACACGACCCAAAAGAATGCTTTATGTGTGTTATATTGCAGTGTTACAAACAAATAGGTTTCTTCAAAACATAAATAATCACAATACTTGAGCAATAGCAAGTGTTTTTATATAAAACTTTGGTTAAAAAAAAAAAGTAAAACAGAACAGAAACATTGCTCTTTTGATTAGAAAACATATACAGAGAAAATAAAGTTAGTTACAGTAATAGAAAAAAACTGCATAAGGCACAATCTTATGGAATGTATAAACAAAGATTATCAAAGGCAGTTTAACATCTTTTTGTCCTCTAAATCAAAAACATTACAATTCAAATTATATCTGTCCACTTTTTAAATTAGTAGGATTTAAATTGGTAGGATTGCCTCGACACAAACAATAAAAAACAAATTAGCTTTTCACAACCAGGTGAACAGCATAGTGATATTCCAACATGGCAGTCAGTAGCAAAGACAAACAATAACTCAATATAAATATACACAGATGAGCGTCACAGTGTTTCTATCAATGGACTACAAAACAACCAACATACAAATAATTAGTGTTGTGATTAAATGCTTAGACACACAATAAAGCCATTCAAATGAATGTCTGTGTGTGTGTGTGCCCTGCTAAAGTATATTATACATTTTCATGTCGAATTGTAGAGCTCCTGCTTTCAATATGTGATAAGAAGATACAGTAAGAACTGTTTATAATATATCAGGAAGAATAAGACAGTGGCACGGAAAGGACAAAAATAATGAACAAAGAGATGATCGTAAGGCACATGTTCCAACAAGTATACAACCAAAACTTAGTGTGTCATGTTTGGGTGGTTTTAATTCCTCAGATTACATTCAAACTGCCCTCCATTCACGCCTATGAATTACACCATCACTCATTAGGAACAATGAGTGAAGCCACAAAACTGAAAGCAAACTAATAACTGTATCAAACAAAATGACAATAGACACAAGTGTCTAAAGTGCAGGTGGGAGGGGTTTATCTTTCCTGTCTTTTCCTTTGAAACATTAGTCACAGTTGAAGGCAGACAGGACAACACTGTTAAGGACTTACAAACCCAAGCAAAGGATGAAATGTAAATGAATGTGAAACTGAGCGCAGGCCAAGGATGAAATTCTCATAGCTTGTAAATCAGTGGTTCTCAACCTTTTTTACTCCAAGGCCCCCCTCCTCTCCAAATCAACACTGAAATTCTACTTCTTTTTTTTTTCTTTTTTTTAGGATTATTTAATGAATAGATAGTTCAAAAGAATAGCATTTGTTTGAAATAAAACACTTTTGTAACATTATAAAATGTCTTCACAATCACTTTATTTAATGCATCTTTGCTAAACAAAATGATTAATTTCTTTTTAAAAAATTACTTATTCAAACACTTTTTTAACTGTAGTGTATTTTGTTTTGTTTTTTTGTGTTTCAATACTATATAGACACATACACAATAAATAAATAAATAAACAAACAAACATCAAGTTAACACTTCTCATTCAAAACAGTTTCAGTGCATATTTTTCTGGTGATTCTCAAAAAGCAATTGATTTCCAATTTTATTTCTATACCTTTCTAATAACAAGGTAGCATAACATATATCAATGCCATAAAACAACAAGCCAGAGGCAAAAGTGAGGAAAAACTGGCATGTATAGGAGAAAGAAACCTTGAGAGGAACCATCACTCAGCCCATCCTCCTTTGGTCAGGATGTATTAAAAAGATTTATCTGCACTGCTAGCTATGACTAATTGATAAGGACAACAGTGAACTGCTTCAAGTCAGAACAAATATAACCAAAAGAAGCTACTCTGTGTGACCACAAGGGGGGCTGTGCAGAAGGCCAACACTGAAACAAATAAATGACTGGAAAACATTTTTAAAGAACTTACCATCTGAAGACATCAATTCATCAATGAGGTTAGAAACGCCTGGAAGAAGAAGAAAAAAGGTCAGTGTAAATTTTCATCAAAATACAAAAATAACACTTTTTTTAATTCTTAAATAATTGCTCTGGAAAAATCTTGTGATTTTATAATGGCATCCATGTCACCTTCTCTCTCATCCCTCATTTCTTC